TGCAGCATGGCCATCCCCCCTGGAGGGTGATTTCTCGCTTTCTGTCTCTCTCTGTCTGGCAAGCACACGCACCCTATAGCAAAAATAAATAAATAAATAAATAAATAAATAAATAAATAAATAAAATACTCATACTCATAATACGGATCTATAAAGCCATCTCACCTCTAAGGAAGACAAGTCCAAGAATATTAAAACCGTCCAGTCTAAAGGGATAAACTCAAAACGAAGAAGACACCGAGTTATCAGAGGAAAGCAATGACAGAAAGATGAAGACTAAAAAGGAACCTTTAACTGTAACAATCGAGGGGGGAAAAGCCAAACACAAAATGGACATCACAGACCCAACAAATGCTATTGATGGCTCTTACCAATCAGTTTAAAATAATCGACAGGTAAGGTACACTGACGTCAAAAATGAACAAAACTTCTACCTTTATTTTCATGTGAAAGAATTAGTTCTCAAAACAGCAATAATTACATATTTTGATGAAAGAAAAAAACCATTTAAAGAGAAATCAGACTATCATAGTATTTTAAATGAACTATTGCTGCTAATTAATTACTCAGACAGGATGCCAGGCCAGACTACATGGTACTTCTAGTTTTTTTTTTTTTTCTTTTTTTTTTTTTCTTATACTGTATGCATTTCTGATAAATGGGAAAAGAATAGATGACCTGGCAGAAGGCTCAGACAATAATATGTGATTTACAGGACATGAATGCAGCTACCACAAGATTTATCTGACAGCCCTCTCCGATAGTGGACTGTTGAGTATCCGATGGAATGATTTCTAGTCTAGAAAGTCTACTACTGAGTAGCCATACACATTATTTATTTATTAGATGTTTTGGGTTGAAACCATTTTTAAATGATGCACTTCACAATGCACAGTCATAAATTTAGCTTTAAACCCAAGAAGGGAGGTAGTGTTATTGGAATGTGTGTCAGACTGAATTAGGATGAGCAACGCAACGCTTTTATAAAGTGGCCTTGAATGCGATGTCAATGCTTTCAAAAATAATATTAATGTCAAATGAGCAAGATACAAACACCT